TTTAACCCTCGAGGCTTATTTCTTGTATGTGAAGCCATGACACTTTGTCTTCTGCCCAGGTGGTGTGGTGGTGTGATTGCTGGTGGCACTGGGTGTTACTGGTCTCTTCCCACAGTGACAGCAGTCAGGGCTCTGTTGCAAGGGTTGTGGTTCCTCTTCTAGATGTGGGATAATGGGAAAAGAGGTCCACCAAAAGATTCTGCTACTTCTGCCCAGGCTGGTGAAATAAATGGCTTTTCCCTGAGCATGTCCCACCTGTCCCCCTCAGAATAAAAGCCTCGTCTGGACATCTTTCTCCTCAGAAAGGAAATGTTGTCCCTCGTCACGTTGACAGCTGGGGATCCAGCACAGGCTCGTGGCAGTGGTGTGAGGGAGGCTGCTTCTCCCTGAGCTGGGCAAGGGCCAGCAGGGGCAGGGAAGGGCTCTGTCCCTCAGTGACCCCCAGCACCATATGCTGTGGGGGTGGGCGAGAAGAAGGAAGGAAGGAAGATGGGCTACACAGAAATGGAGAGAGAAAATAAATTCGGGGAGCCAGTGAGGATCAGAAGAGTAGTATGTCAAGAAGCATGAAAAGAAGGTGAAAAAGCTGTTTTCTTGTTTTCCATGGCATTGGGGACAATGCCCTTTGAGTGCTCTGCTGATCCCCTTTATCACAGGGGCTTGGCAAGAGAAAGCAGGGAGCGAGGCACCAGAAGGATCTTTGCTTCCATCCCAAAGGCAGTTTGTAATCTGATTCCTGAAATGGGCCTTCAAGCTGCAAGGAAGCTCTGTAGCTTTCTTTTTCCCTTTAAATAGCTTAGCACCTTTTAAACCTGGCAGAGTGTTCTGGGAGCTGGGCCAAGACCCTGCCCTGGGCCCTGCCCCATGGTCCCCTTTGTCATTAGATGCCATTTTCTGCCAAAGAGGTGTGGGGGCGATCCCAGGCTGTTCCCCAGGAGTACTGACCAGCCAAGGGCTGCTTTGCTGAGGTCAGGGTACAGGGGAGTGGGGAGAAGGCAGGGGATGCTGCAGTGCAGTGACTGACCCAGAGCCTTGGGTCCAGGTAGGGCACAGTCCTGCTGGCACAGCCTCATTACTGAGGTCAGGTATCTGTCCTGCTGTGCTCTGCTCTTTCCAGTTCCTAGCAGCTGCTCCTGCACTGCATGGCATGGATGTACCTGGGGTGTGAAAGCAGCCAGGGGGCAGTGAGCTTTGCCTCAGAGCCCTGGGGTGCTTCTTGCCTGTTTTCCATCCTCCTCTTCAGCCCCTCAAGTCCAGGCATTGGTGTGCAACTGGCTGCATGTGGGACTTCCTCAAAGCCAAAGCCGGGCTGCAGTGGAGAGGAATCCAGATGCAATCTTGGCCTCTTTTCACAAGATGTAAGTCAGTGGCAGCTGGGAAGTGATAGGTTCCTGTCTAATTAATTCTTTTCCAGGGAATAAAAAGGAATGATTTCTGTTTGGTGTCTGTGATGGATCCATCATTCCTTTAGGCAGATGTGCAGACAGACACGGAGAAGCAGCCGGTGTCCTGGGCTCTGTATTGGTGTCTGGCTGAGCAGCTTCACTCTGGGACGGGCAGCAGCTGAGATCTCTGGTTTCACTATGGGGCTGTTCCTTTCCCAGGGGAGACAGGAGACTCATCACTCCTCAGAAACATCACAAAAACTGCTGACCCTGAAAACATGGAGTAATCTACGATTTCCAGAGTGCCTCCCTTGTCCTTTCCTCTTGCAGCTGTTTCCCAAATTGCTGACATAAACTCGGAGCACTTTTGGTTCACAGAGCCTCTGCATCAGTGACTGCTGCCAAGGCAGAAACTTTCTCCTCCATGCTGTGCATGAGAGCTGCAGTGTGCAGCTCCTGAAGGGTTTCCTTCTCCCTTGATTGTTGCCCATGAGCAGCACAGGGTGTGCTGTGGCACAGCATCCCAAACAATCCCCTCAGCTGTGCCCTCCAGCCCTGTGTCTGGGGCCTGGGAGGAGGTGCTGCATCACTTGGTGTTCTTGCCACATGTACCGTGTTAGGAGGGTCCTCACTGTCACTGGGGACAGGTAAAACCACCTGTTGGAATACTTTAGGTAATACCTTGACAGTGGTGGGCAATGGTCACCTTAGGGGTCTTTTCCAACCAAAATGGTTGAATGATTCTGTGAAGAAACTGATCAGCTTGAAGCACTCGTGGTTGGATGAGGGCAAAATACAGTTCCTGTCTTTATCTGTATAAAGACCTGTTTAATATGTCTAGTTAACATGCTGGAGCAAAAGAACTATTTGTGAAGAGAGATGTGCTTGTTAAGCACTCAGTGCTGCCCACATACACAAATTTGTATTTTTTAAATAAAGGGGTTTTTTGCAGGTTCCTCATCCAAATGTGCTGACTGTTTCTTCTCAGTGTATAGTAGGCAGGGTTAGGCTGGCTTTGCTCCTCGGGGCCACCAGTGCCTTTCAAATGCCAGGTGTTCCTACTTGTGACAGAGGAGCCCAGGAGCACCTGGGCCTGTGATCCTGTGTGTCATCCCCACACCACTGTCTTACCTGTCCCTGCAAGCAAAACACTCAAATTCAAGCTGCCCTCTCCTTCACAAGGGGCATTGTGCCCTTCAGCTGTTTGGTCATTAGGATCTTGGGGCAGACAAGGTGTTAATGGGAAAAGCTTTGCTGCCCACCCATCCTCATTGCTGCCATCCTTCCTCTGTGGCAATGCTTTCCCAACTTTTTATGTGATTGTCCCAAAAGCTGGCAATAAACAGTTCCTGTTTGTGGGTTAAGACAGTGCTGAGAACTGTAATGGCAGACTGAGGGAAGAGAAATAGGACAGCCCCATCCCTGGCACCATGAAGGAGTGCCAGCTGTAGGATTAGCTCTTTCCTGCATAACTCAAGCGAAACTTTCCACAAACAACTGGCACCACTCCCCAATATGAGTTCAGCCTCTACACTTGTACATTATTTCTTTTCCCCCTAGAGGTCTCTTGCTCTGACATGTTCAAGTGCCTGTGGAACACCTGTGCACTTGAACATGTCCCTGGTGCTGTCTACCTGCTCTGCCTGGGCAATCTGTGCCTCTCAGAGCATCTAGAGTGGGGCACTTCAGAGCAGAGGGGCATCCACAGCAGGAGAGGAGCACACAGAAAGCACTCAGGCACTCGGCACATCTGCAGATTGTGCCAGTAAGGAAAGCCAGTAGAGGAACTTTTCATTATTCTTTGTGTTTGGAGTGACTGATGAGGAGGCACATGGTCATTGCAGGCTGTTACCTTATGCAAGGTGAAACTGTTCATGATTTGCTCCTGGCAATAGCCCAAAGGTAAAGATAAGCTAGTTCTTTCCTCAGGTCAGTAGTTGTCCCTTAATCACAGGCCAGGAGGCCACCAGAGAGCTACTTCTGCCTCCTCTTGCTCCTTAGCAGTGTGGGTGAATGAGACCTTTAGTCCTGCTCGCTCCCTCTCTGAGCTGGGCTCCTCCAGCAAACCCTGAGGAAAAAGGAGAGTGCTGGGCACCCTGTCAGCCAGCAGAGAGTAGGGTGTGAATGGAAGAGAGGAGGAAACCTCCACGCTGGGAGCACACAGAATTTCAAGACTTTTGAAAGTTATTCATCACCTCAGAGCAACCAGTTGACTGTTCTCCCTGAACAAACTCGGTTCATCTTCTAAGCAATCATAAGAAAGCATGGAAAAGCAAATGGTTGACCTGGGGGCTTTGCTGCCCTGTCTATTCTTCTAACAAGCTGATTCTGAAAAGCACATGTTGAGGGTTTGATGCTCAGCAAGGAGCTAACTTGGCCTACAGCCATCTACCATGTTAGCACAGTGTTCATTCCAGTGCACAGAGACAGAGAGAAATCCAGCTATGTCTTGTCCATACTGGGATATGGCACACATGGGAACATAGCAATACTTCCGCTTTTTCATACCAGTAGGTTCAAATTTCTATTTCAGCTAATGTAGAGAGAGGGAGTCAAAGAAACTGATCAACAGGTAGGGGAAAAATATCTATAAAATCTTGCTTTGCAGTTCATCTGATAAAGGAAATATATAGTGTGTAAACCTTGTTTCTCACCAAGATTCACATTCATGTAACTGATTCTTCTGTCCCTCACATCACATTCCTCTGTCCTAAGCCAGCATAAGGATGGTCAGAACAATGTTTTTTGTTTGTAGCAAGAGAGGAGATGTGTACACTACCTATGCTAGCAACTCTGAACAAGTGCAGAATACCTCTATAAATGTATTTATACATCTCTGAACTCTCCATACATTGCACTATTGCCAAACATAAGAAGCTGAGACAATTGAAATTTGCCAGCATGGGGAAGCAGGGAGACCTGATGCTGCCACAGTGCCTGGCACATGGATGGTGCTGCACTCACCAGGACCATGGAATGGACCCTGGTCTTTGTGAGTGACCCCCCTGACTGCAAACTGGCACCCTCAACTCCTTCTCAGCCTGCAGCCAAGAGAGGCTTCTCACATGGGACATCTGAGTCTCTAGGCAGGGAGTAGCTGTGCAACTAAATACTCAAAAGCCAAACAGCTTGAATCCTCTTCACTGCTCACACCCCAACACACCTCATCCACTGTCTAATGTGTTTGGATGGATGTGTTCCCTCCTGACATCTTGATCATGGGAAAAGATGCTACATGGGCTTTGGGTGAAGAGTCAGTAAAAGCTGGAAGGTCATGGGGAAGAGGAGTGCTTCAGGATGGGCCCCTGTGGATGTTTCCATTGGCTTGGCTCAGTGCCATGATCTTCAGGCTCAGTGGTTTGGACTCACACTGGGCTCAGAGCTGGACCAGCCTGTCCAGCAGTTCAGGAACTCATGAGCTTTGTGTCTCATATCAGGATCCCTGCACTGACCCCAGCTGTGGCCTGAGCTTTCAAGAAGAAAGAGGTTCAGACAAGGGACCCGGTGTTTGGTTTTGCATTGCACTGCCAGACAAGAATACCCTTGTCGTTATGTCGTTATGTGGAATCACTGAAAACTTTAATAGCATCCCTAAAACCTCCCTCCCCTCCCAAAGCATTTTTCTGGCTCTTAGCACGTTAGGGAGTAGCTAAAGACTCCCACAGCAGAACTTGCAGGATTGAGTGGTCTTGGCAGAGTAGCTGCAAAGGGCATCGTGTTTAATAAAAGGGCTAGACTTTACAGTTAGGGTTTTCCCTATGTCTTGAAGTGAGATTTGGTCTTTGGATGTTAAGTGCTGGGCTGATGAACACAGAAAATACAAACTGGCTCCCTGCGTCCCTCTGGCAGCAAGCAGGCAGGCACTTTTCTCCTGCCCTGGGACACTGGGGCAGATTCCCTGCAGGTTCCTGCAGTCCTTGCTAAGGAGGCGTGATTCCCAGCGGTGCTGGGCGCCCGCAGGCGCTGCCCTCCGCAGGGGCAGCCCCGGGGCTCAGCACCGCTGGGAATCAGGCCAGGGGCTCCCGGCAAGGGCGAGGACAGGGGAGCGGGGCTGGGGGAAGAGAGGAGCAGCGGTGCTTGCTGATGCTCAAACAAAGGTCTTCCGATGGAGGGACCTGCCGCAGGGCCGGGGCTCTCGGGCCCCACAAGTCAAACTGCACAGAGTCACAGTTAGTCGTCGTCATCATCATCGTCGTCATCGTCGTCGTCATCATCGTCATCGTCGTCATCATCGTCATCATCATCATCGTCGTCGTCTTCATCGTCGTCATCATCCTCGGTGTTTATCTTCCCAGAAAGCACGTCCTCTATCCAGTCCTCCAGCTCCTCGGCTGTGGGCAGGTCGTCATCATCTCTGATGTCCATCCAGACGCTGTCAGCCTGTGGGGACAGGTGATGAGGGTTAGCTGCCCCCAGGGACACAGGGTGGGACACAGCTGTTGGGGGGAGAGGGCAGGAGCACGGTGGGATGCAGGCATTGGCTCCCTCTTTGTACAGCCTGTGGGCAGGCTCAGCCAGAGCGTCTCTGCCCTTGCACTGGGATCCCCACCTCCCCCTGGGGTGCTGCTGTGTCTCACCAGGGCAGGGGGGCTGCTCAGCAGGTTTATGGGAGTGTCTGGTGCTGTGTGCCCTGATGAGGTGTGTGCCTGCTGCCTATGGCTGTGAGGAGGAGCGTTGCCCACCTGATGCATTCCTCACTCCATCTGGACAGTTCTGTTGGCTCCAAGTCTATGTAAAGAGATATCCAAGAGACCTCTGCCAGCACCTGCTGCATCACCCCAGTTTGCAGGACATCACAGTGGTTCCTTCCTTCCATCCAGAACCCTTCTGGGACCTCTTCCTTGGAGCCTTCACAACCCCCTGTCAGCACCCTTTCTCCCCAGCTTCCTTTACAATCGCCTTTGCCTCAGGACCTTGCTCTGGACTCTCCATGTGTGATAATGGCTCCTGCTCTTGGAAGAGCCTTCCCTTAGATCATCTCAGCCATGCTCCCATGCACACCACGGATCTCAGCTGAAGAGTGGTGAGAAACACCAATGCCCTGGACTGCAGGTGCCCCTGTTCTTTCCCCCTGGCTGTCTGCATTGCTTCCATAAACAAAAAAAGATAGGAGAATTCAGTAAGAAGACAATGACAAATTTGTGACTGCTACCCAGTGACAGCAAGATTATTTGGTCTCTGAGGTCTGGAAATGAAAGTTTTCCTCTCTGCTGTGCTATAGGTTCCCTGGGTAAATGCCTGGATAAGCCCCTTTCTGTTCACTGTCTCCCCTCCATAAAACAGGATCAGCCTCCTGTTTTGCAGAGGCACTGTGAGCTTATCTCATGCAGCATTTGATGTTGCAGAAGCAACTTCACATATCAGAAGACAACTACCAGCTTTTGCAATGCATCCAACCTCTTTCCCTGTCTGTGGTATTTAATTCTCTTTGATTTACAGCTTGCTAAAAAGCCAAACCAATTTCTGCTCAAGGAAAGCTGTGTCTCCCATACAATATTTTCCTCCTAAATCACCAAAACTGCAATAAAAAAGAACCCTGGAGAGGCATGCAGTCCTTGCTCCACTCAAATGTTAATGTTCCCAACCTCAGGACTGTTTGTACGGAAAAAAGTGACACTTTTAAATAATGGGAAGAGGAGTGGCTCCATTTCACCTCCAGAAGGTGCTGTGCAAATAAAGCAGTGATATTTTGCAGGGCATCATGGCCCTAAGTCCTGAGCCACAGTCACCACAATGTGATGAGCCAGCTGGGGCTGCTGGGAGCTCTGCTGTTTGCATTGGCAGGTTTTTACAGAAGTGATGGGGTCGCGGGGGTTATGTCCACTGAAGCCAGCAGCAGTGTTTATTTTCACTCTGTTGTGTAAGTCCCACTTTGTACCTGTGTAGCTTGGCTGAATGCAGTGATGTAACACTGAAATAATGAAATGAGCTCAATGTTTGTTTTAGATATCACCTGCCAACCTAGAACTTTCTTAAATCTCTCTCGAGAAATAAAGAAAGGACTTAAGAGGAATGAAATAAAACCTGCAAATACTGTAATCAACAGCCTGAAACATTTACTATATCAAAGCCAGATAATGCAGGAGTTTTTACAGGTCTCTGAGTGACTGCTGAATAATAAGGCATATGTTCTTACCTAATTCTGCTTTCTATATGATTCTCATGCCACTGATAATCCCACTCCCATGAACTTCCATTGAGTGCTGTTTAATGTAGCTTTGACGTGACTTAAACATGACCAGTCACAGTAAATATAAAGAAGGGAGATACTGTGTTAAGGGCATAAGACTGGAAGACGTGGACTCTCTTTCTGGCTTGTCCATTCATTTCTCTCATGGTCTTAGGTGACAGGTGCTGTTTTGGCCCTTTTTTCTTTTGTCTCTCCCTTAACAATTCTGCTAAGGAGCATTAACTCACTGGGTCTCCACTCTCTAGGGGTCTGCCCCGCGGTCTGGTGGAGTACTGCTCTATTGCAGGCAAAAAGCTCACATGCAGCCAGGGCTGAAACTACTCCCTGACTCCCAACTCAGCCTCTCAGCCACCTCAGTGGGATGAGCAAGATCCAAGGACTCTGCTTTCTTCATGACACCATTGCTTTGCCTTCCCCACCAGGTCTCCTGTGTTACAGCCTTGCAGCATCTGTTGTAACAGGAGGCACCACCATCCAGTAGACCCTTGCTGTCCCTCTTTTTCTGGGGCAGTACAGGAGAGAGGATGTGGAGGCTGGAAGCAAGGTCAGTGTTGAGCCAAACCAGCACCCAGCCCCACACATTTGTCCCAATTTTAAGTCTCTCTCTACTGTCTTCTGATGAAACATCAAGTTCACTTATGACTCAAATTTTTTCAAACATGAAGTCAAGCACCAATTTACAAACACTTCTGCAGTGGAGAGATTTCTGTTTCCAGAGACACTTGCATACCCACACAGGTTCATTTTAAAGAGATTAAAACAAACACCCAGCACTTAAATGTTGAAAATAAACTAAGGTAACAGTTTAGGTGGGAGCATGCTGCATTACGCGCTCTCTGATCATCTGGACTGTTATTGTCAGAAAGAGGAAAGAATGGTTTCTCTCTGTGTCAGGGCTGTTCCATTGCACTCAGCAGCTCTGCTAAGATCTCTGCTGGTGAGGGTCAGACGGGTCCCCCTCCCACCTGCCTTAAAAGCTCACAGGGTATGGGCAACCTGAGATCAGTCCCATGATTTCTGGTTTGAAGGCCACCACAGTGAAAACACAGGCTGCTGTCCCAATAGCACAAATGTGGGTGCTGTGGGTATTGTTCTCCCTCAGCTGTGCCAAAGTAGCACCTCTGCCTCTGCAGGTCCCCCTCTGCAGCTGCTCCTGTGGGATGGTGTGGGAACCTTCACTGCCACCAGGTGTGGGGCAGGCAGGCAGGTCTCCTCTTCCCACCCAAATCCCACCAGCACTACCTGTACAGCAGTGGCTGAAGGGCAGGAGGGCCTGGATGAACTCCAGTGCACCCTCCTTATAGCAGCAGGATTCCTTGATTACCAGTTTATGCTGTACTTCTGTTAAAGCTGTGTATTTATTTAGCTTTTTTCAAGCTGTGCAGTTTCTCCCTGTCATCTGCTGGGGATAATCTTTCCCTCCTACACTCAAGCTGTGCCCTTTTGCTTCTGTAGAAAACAACAACCTCCTGTTACTCCTCTTCTCCTCCCCTAAGCATGGCTTTCTTTTCCCCCTACACACACTTTTTCTACACAAAGCCACCCAAGCTGTCGGAGCAGGGAATGGACGATGGTGCATGCTGTGAGTTGGGGTGGAAATACAAGATCTTGAAACCAAACTGGGCAAAGTCTTGAATCCCAGGCCACAGAGGCTGGAGCTGTCCCCAGCAGATGTGGTTTGTGTGTGATTTGGAAGCAGAAACACACTCAGGCTAAAGCCCTCAAGCCTGACATCAGAGGTGTTACAAACCCTGCACCATGTGGGATGGGTGAGGCCTTCATATTTTTTCTCTGTTCTACCTGCACTTAACAGTGGAAATCCCACTGATTCCAGAGTCCCTCAGGACCCAACCCTTCCAGCACCCTAATTTTGGGATCACTGGATTTTCCGGGCACGTGCTACTCACATCTGTGACGTTCACCACCCCGATCTGTGGTCTGAACAGGTCGATCTTGAAGGTCTTCTCCCAGTAAGTGATGAGCTGCAGGAGTGAGACACACAAAGCTCAGTCAGGGGTGTCTGGGGAGCGAGGAATGTGCATCCATGTGTGCATGCAGAAAGGAGAGGCTGAACACAAGCTTGGGCTGCCACACATGGCAAAGGAAAGCGCCGACTCCAGGGGTGTTCCCAAGACAATGCCCACTTGGGAGGCAGACCCAAACAAGCGGCTTTCAAGGGCCTGTGGTCCAGTTTCCCATCCTTCCCTGTCCCACATTCCCTGGGGCAATTCCTGCACTCGTGTGTGCACCCCCCTACACCCCCTCATGCCCATCCCATCCATGAATTAAAGCAAGAAAGGCAAACAGCCTCTGCCACTCACCAAAGGAAAGTCGTCAGGGTCAATCCAGACAATGCTCAGGTCGGGATTATCGGTGTTGTCCCTGGCAACCTGCTTCAGGATTTCCAGGAACTCAAAACCATCTGAAATGATACATGAACCACTGCAACTCTCCTGCAAATGCACTGGCACTTTTTGCTTGTGGGGTTTCCAGCTTCCCTGGCTCCCCTATGCACTCAGGAGTTGTTTATAGTTCTCATTAAAATGCTGTCTCCCAGCGCTTTCTTTTGATAATAAGGCTTTTAATTTCAAGCATCCTCCTCGGGTATTGAAATTAGTTACACATGAATTAAGCCCCATAATCCTTCTGTGGAGTGAAACAATGTCACTATTTTCTTGTGGTGAGGAGGAACTGAGCCCCCAAGAGGCCAAAGCTTTCCGATTTGCTGATGGCTCTGAGAAGCACCGATGGCACGGCTTTTCAGGAGTCGGTGGCTTTGTGTTTCCCACATGCCTATCCCACACCCAGCCCTCTCTCCCAGAGCTGCACAGCAAGATGGATGCAGAGTTAGGGAGCAAATCCTGGGAGTGGGGTGGAAGGAATGATTTTTTTTTTTCCCCAGGCAATCATCCATTTCTATCCAAACTTTGAGTCCTGGCTAGCACACCTGCTAGCATAAACACCCAGTAGGTGTCTACAATGCAAACAAAGCAGATGAAAATGCATTTTCTTGAAGGATGGAGAGTCACACCAGGAAGAAAATGGGCTCCTACCTGGGTCATCTTCTTCAGCAAAGGCTACGATGTGAATACCCTCCATGTCATCCTCCTGGAAACAACACAACTATTACTGATGGGCCAGGGAGGGAGGACAGAGTCCGGGTGGTTGCTGGAGACAGGAGCAGTGGGATGGCTTCAAAAAGGGCAATTACAAAGGGAGGCTTGACTGGAGGCCCAGAGAGAAACCAGAAATGGGAGCTGAGGTGAGGCTGCCTCATGAAGGTATTTAGTGCTGAAGGAGGTAGTTTGGGTAGTGTTGCTGAAACTCTTTGGATGAAAATTAGGTGGGCACCATGATGGCAATGGCAAGGGAGCTTCTGATGATGTGAGGCAAAAGCTTCTCTGCAGAAAAGGTCAAGGGCTCTCTAGGATGAGAATAGAGGCTCCCCCTTCATGCCTGAGACCACCTACCCTCATTAATTTTCAGCTCCCAGGGGATGGTTTGCAAGGAAACAAATATCTGCCACCATGCTCAGCTCCTTTGGGGCCAGCAAAGGAAGTTTTCTCACAATATGAGAGGCAAGGTGGCTCATTTGGGCCCCTATTTGGAGGTGAATGGTCTCTGCTTTAGGTGAGGGTCTCCGAAAGCAGTGAGGGAAATTGAGTGGGGGGCTCATTTCAGGGCTCCAGTGAGTGGAGGACAGAAATTACAGCCTGGTGGATTACTTTTCTCCATGAAACACATGAGTAATGATATTGGCAAAGGCCAATGGATCTGCTGGCCAGTTCATCATCTGCCTGCTATGAATGTCATCTCTGAATTATCCCATGGATCGGTTTCGCCTTCCTCACCCGCTGTCGGTCCCAGTTTCCATTTCAATTGGTTTTAATGCAAGCAAAAATTCCCATCTAAATGCTAATTTCTTTTCCCTTCTGAGCCCAGAGGTGAAAAAGCCACCATCAAATAGTGAAAGGGAAAAAAACCCTGAAAGATTAAGTGGAAAACATTATCTTTAAAAACAATAGTGGATGCTCAGCCTTTGTGGATGTCTTCAGGGAATATGTTTTCACTGCAACATTCCAGGCAGATTTACTTGGGATTCAGACCACTTACAGCTGGCAAAATTTACACTGTTGCTTTTTCTTCATATTCACTAGCAGCATTGTCAGACAGCGAAATAAAAGTATATCTCTATATGCCACATATAATTACATGTATGTACTGATATAATGCAGCTCTATTCTGGCCTGGAAGGCAGCAAACAAAACTGGACTAACTCCAGTGAAGGCACTGAGGATGTTGTGACCTAACAGTGAGATCCGAATCCAGCCCCCTGCCTTCTGTAGCTATGAGCCCACTGCTCGTGGCAGAGGCAAGCTCTGTATTCCCAGGCTGCTGGTTGAGCAAGCATCCCACCATTGGGAATTCACACTTTTCATGAGGCTGTTTTAGAATATAGCCTGTGTGAAAGTGAAACCGCTGCTTGTGTAATTTGGGTCTCGCTGAAGTGCCATTAGAAACCTTGGAGGGGCTTTGGTGGATCTTGGAAGCTGTGTTCTATACAGAATCTGTATTTCAAAACAAAATGAAAAGCTATTACGCCTAAGTGACTCATAACTCCTGGTTCAGCTTTATTACCTCTTGCCTTGCTGTATTAAAGACTCCCAAGGTTTTTGCCACTTTGGAGTCCCGTGGTGTTTCATGTTACACAGCCAAGAAGGGGACATCTAAATGCTGTTATAAATGTGTCAAGTCTTTTGGAAGAATGACTGCATCTTCCTTAGTGTCTGTAAAGCACCTGTTCAGCCTTGTTTTTCAGCATTCATCTGGCACTTGAGAGCCCCTGACTAGCTTTTAACACCATATTCACTCACAGTGAAGGGATAATTTTGTTATACACAATTTTTCCTTCATTTTCACCCTTCTTTTCCCCACCACTTCAGGCCCCAAGAGTCCTCTGTGTGTGATAGGGGCCAAAATGCAGGTTAGTTCTTCACAATTGCTGATTTGCATATTGCTTGCACTGTGAGAAGTGCAGTCAATACAGGATCTGCTTTGAAATCTGTATAATTAACTGTACTGCCTGCCTTCACTTCCATTTTGAATTGTTCAAGTGCTCTTGTACTTTTACAAGGACACTTAGTGACAGGATGGGGGAGAATGGATTTAAACTGAAAGAGGGTAGATTTAGACTGAATGTAGGGAAGCAATTCCTCACTGTGAGGGTAGTGAGGCACTAAAACATGTTATCCAGAGAAGTGCTGGATGCCCCAGTCCCTGGAGAGTGCAGGGTCAGGTTGGATGGGGCTTTGAGCAACCTGGTCTAGTGGAAGGTGTCCCAGCCACAGCAGGGGATTGGAAACAGATGATCTTTAAGGTCTCTTTGAACCCAAACCAGTCTATGATTCTGTGGGTTTCCATGAGACATCTGCACAGTGAACAGGCCACAGAAATCACCCCACCAGCAGCTCTGGTGCCCTCAGCACTTAGCTGAGATGGAGCATCCTTGGGCAGGATCACTCACAGGCCCCACACGTGCCTGGCACACTGCTTATCTTTCCCTCCTCCTTCTCTCTGTGAAGCAAGCAGGAGCCAGCCCAGCTCTCCATTGCTGCTGCGCAAAGCCTTTGAGCACCCTGTTTGAAGTGAGGAACCAGGCAGTGCAGACAAGCCTTTCCCTTTTTCCCACAAGAGACAGAGTAGCTTTGCAAGGAAGGAAAGGTACTGCTCTGCCCAGGCAGAGGCTGCAGCTCTTGAGCAGCAGTTCCTTGTTGGAAGCTGGCAGGGGACACGATGGTTCCCACCACAGGTGCTTACCCACGTCTCAAACATGTCCTCGGGGCGCAGCTTCCTCAAGGTGGCCCTGCAAGGGAGACAGAAATGCTCTTTGAGGACAGATCCAGCACTGCCACACGTGACACTGTCAGCAACACAGGAAAGCCACCATGGCAGGTTTGGCTGGCGGCTGGAGTCAGTCACATTTTGAACGCAAGAATGGGGGCACTGTAGGTAAATTTATGCCTTTATTTTTGGTGATAAAACCCTGCCCATGGCCCCACTGGAGTCACTGCAGCCACTGTTTCTGCTTGGGAAGATGAAACACCTCTCTGTGCTGGGATGTGCTGATGAATTTGTTCCACACATGGCAGACTGGTCTGTCTGTGCTGAGAGCATGAGACAACAATCACTTTTGTTTTGGAGTCTCTGGGACATTCCTAATGGGCTCTGGCCCCCCTTTTCTTCTGGTTTCACCCCAGCAAAATTTCAGAACAGAAATCTTTCCCACCTCTGTGGAAGCAAAGAAGACAGAATTAACTCTGGGAAGAAAATTTGGACCCTAACAACTACTGACAAGAAAATTTACATGCTAAGACTGGTCAAAGAAGTTTTTTTTTTTTTTTTTGAGAAGTAGTACATAAAGGAAAAAAGATTAATTTTCAGACACATCTGTAGCAGGAAGCCTGGCAGGCTGAGAGTTGACTGTGGCGTTAGAGGGGTACCCAAGGAACACAAAGCCATAGAAGATGAGCACAAATCATCCTTTGCACATCTGCTTGCTGTGGTATCAGCTGTTTGGGGAGGATCCCCCAGCAGAGCAGGTCCCCCTGGCTGACCTGCCCCAGGACCTGCTGCAAAGAGAGGTGTCAGTCTGTGAGGTTTTAGAACAGATTGGTAGGAGTGGCAGCATGTTGCCAGACCCTGGTGGAGTAAGTGAGATGTTTAACCTGTCACTTCAATTTGCCTAACAAACAGAGCAATGGAAACAATGAAACATTTTGTAGAGGTTCCTAATGGACCTGAGGAGCCACAGAACTGAGCTCCAGTTAGATCAGAGGAGGAGAATCTCCTGTGGATTAATAACATTGAGGGGTGGAAATGAATGGTCAGTTTTCATGACAGAGGGAATTCACCAATTAAGATTCATAGCATATTCTTTGGCATGATCATATGCACAATATATCCTCACATAATCTGAAAAAGAAGGGAAATAGGAATATGGCAACATTTGCTTATCGTATCCAATTCTTTGGCAACCAACAAAGGCCTGACTATCAGTTGGTACAGAAGATCTCCTGAGATTTGAGTGTCTGCATGATAGACAGACATATAGCAAGTAACACACTTGCAGAAAACCAGCCCTGAGTGTACAGGTGCAGCAATTGCTTCTAAATTAGTTGTAATTAATTTTTGCCTCTCAGGAAAGGAGCCCAGGTGTCACAAATTGAGAAAGAATCAGCTCCAAAGGAAAAAGGCCAAAAGAAGGTTGCAAACAGTTGGGAAATGGCCAAGGAGTAAACCAGACCATTATGGCAGTGGACAGCTACAGTGTGAGCCATGACAGTGGAGTTATGTGCAGTTCTGGTCATGCCATCTCAGAAATTATATGGATAACTGAAAAAGGCACTTGGAAGCGTGGGAGTGGTGAGTGAAGGTATGGAAGGACCTCTATTTGGTGAAGATTAAATATATAAGAATTCTTTATCTTGTGAAAGAGGTGACTGAAGAGGGTTTTGGCAGGTATTCTAAATACTGGGAACAGTAAAGAAAACGTGAATAGCTTAGAACATGGCCACGGCTCTAATGACATCAAGGTTGCAGATTTGTTCCCTGCACAGGTCATTCACTTAAGAGTTGGACTTGATGATGCTTGTGGGTCCCCTCCAACTCAGAATATTCTGTGATTCTCCCTCTACCTTAAGTATTAATCATTGTTCCTCTTAAAAAAGAGTTAGTAGGTGCCCAGAGAAATTATTAGGTAGCAGGTATAAATTAAACAAATAAGAAAGGTCTTTTGATATAATGCATATTTTAGCTGCTGAACTCATTACAATTTGGTACATTCAGCATCAAAACAGAAATAAGGTAAAAGGAGCTATAGAAATTGAAGAAATAGCCACTAAGCACAAGATCAGGGATACAGTTTTTGAACCAACAAGTCCTTTCATGGTTGATGGTCCAAAACTAGAGATTAAATCAGGTGAATGTGTATTATGTATTTAGGCGTACTTGTACTTTGCTTTTAAGACACTTTCCCTAGCTGTTCTCTGGGGGAAGCTCTTGGAGAAAGGAAACTCAGTGCGAAGGATCTGGGCACACCCACGTGTGCTGATTGCTGTGTTGACTCTGGGTACTTCCCTGTGTTGGAGGAGTGAGGCAACTGGGGTTTGGATTAGTAAGAGAGAGCAGCATTCAGCCCCCATGTGGCTACACCACAATGCAGACAAGTGGGGTTCCAACCCCAGCATTTGCATGTGAAAGAGGCACCAACACAGAGACTGCACCTTGTAATTTGTATTTGTGCCGCTGAGAGTGAAATCTGGGCTGAGCCCTTGGAGTGGCAGTGACCCCCGTGCTCAGATGGACACCCACCTGTGCAGCCTTGGAGGGGTCACCCCATGATGCTGAGCACCAGCTCCCTGACCTTCTGTGGACAGCATGGACCTTCCCACCACAGCCTGCAGCTGCCAGCTGAGCTGTCTGTAGGGAACCAGCACATGGCACCTGCTGAGGTCGCTTCATTTTAATATACAGATCCTCTCCATTCTGACCAATTCCAGCCTGTGGCTTTAGGTCCTTTACTGGTGGCAAGGCAGGATGAAGCACTTCTGCTCTGAGAAGCTCAGCATGAGCTACTGGGAACATACTGCTGTCACTCCAGGCTTCTTCCCCTGCCATGGCAGCACCTTGGCAGGTTTGGGATTTCAGACATACTGTTTAATGGACTCCTTTTAATTATTTTCTGAGCTTTGGCACTTGCAAAATACATGCCCATCCCCTTGCTTCTACCAAGCACTGTAAAACATCCTGAAATATCTAAGACTCGGAGAAATTCCACTGCAAATTTTGTGCTGGTGAAGAGTTTGCCTTATTAGGATAGAATTTAGATGGCTGTGTCTAATCAGCCTTCTGATGCTGCTGCTTGACAGAAAGAGCTTGGGGAAAGGAAAATGGGAAGGACTAAGGCCAAGAAGCCTAGAAGGTGAGCAAAGTGAATTGTGGGTACATGGAAGATAGAGGAGCCCTTCATATTTCAGAAAAAGCAGAGAACTGTTTCTGGTGAGTCTCAGATTCTGGAGATGATCTCAACCTCCAGCTGAGCCTGATTTGAGGTCCCCTTTTGATATAGATGGCCCTGCTTTCCTCAAAGGCATCTGGCCCCTTGATTGTCTGCTGAGAAGTGCAGCTGTAGGAGCAGCAGGCAGCCTGTGTCACTCTCCTGAGGCATGGTTCTAAGGGTATAAAAATACAGCACCTCTGGGTAGCTGGGCCCAATACCTAACCCTGTGCTTTTACACTGGATCAGCCTCTCCAGTGGCTTCCAGACTATTTTTGTAGCTGAGTCCCTAAGCAACTGTGCAATAAACCTGATTGCAAAAAGCATGAGCATCCACAGCTCCTGCTGAGTTGATCAAACACTGTAGGTGCTCAGCATGGTTCCCACACGAGGCTCAACACAGCCATAACAGCTGTGGCTTCTTCTCTGTGCCTGCATTCAGCAGGAGCCTCTTAGGCCATTGTGGTTCCTCTGAGCTTGGTCTGAGCTCAGAGACTGCCTCCAGACATATCTGACACCAGGAGAGGGATACACCCATTAGTAAATCAGTAAATCTGCTTTTGGGAAGGAGGGGATTGGACAGGATTTGGATTTGGATTTGGCTTGAAAGGCCTTGGAGAGTGTCATCTTCTGTACAGACCTAAATTAAAAGCATGGGCAATTAGGGCAAGGATTTCACTCTCCACTGCTTTCCAGCCTCACTGCTTTTTGAGTGAGGACTAACCAGGGAGGAGGAAGAGCAGGAGGAGGGAAGCTGTGTTATCCCAGCTCCCTTGTGGTGAACTATGACTGCTGCACAGATACTTGCACCTCTGGGAGTAGGAAAAAACCAGCAATTTCACTATTTCAAACCTGGGTCAGAAAATCATCAAAAGTAGTCATCATCCTAATGTTTTTTGAGAGTGATGTCCTAGAGAGGCAAGGTCACAATGACAGACACCTTAACCCACTTATTTTGTTCAGGAGCATCCTGCATGCTACATACCTTCGGTGCTCTCTCACAAAATCAACCAGCTCCTCTTCTGAGTAAGGCTTATCAGGGATGTGAACAGGCTCATCCATAAAGGGTTCATAGAAGTCCACCTCATTCATCTTTAGGCCAAGCTTCTTGGCAACCTGTGGCAGTGCAGAAGTCACAGGTGAGAGAGCCTGATGGGCCTCTTTGCCTACCCAGAGTCTTTGCTGCTGGCAGAGCTGAGATCAAGGTGCTTCTCTCAGAGCGTGCACTCCTAGGGGTGGCCCACAAAATAGTATGGATCTCTCCTTGTTTAAAAATCCATTGATGCCCCCTACACTACTGACGTCAAGCACTGGGGCAGAGCAAAGCCACAGCCCAGGACCTGTGACCAAACCCACATCAGGACCTGTCTCCATGCTGCAGAAATTGCCTTCTGTCTTGCAACAGGGCCAAAATATCAATGCAGACACCAACACCACTGATGCTGTTGAGTCAGGGACAGAAAGAAGACTCCAGTCTTCAGGTGGATCAGAAGGCAAAAGTGTTTAATGAAAGTAGTGGGTCTTTTTATAATGTGACTTGCTAAGGTGATACTTGATTGGTCTCAAAGTAGAAACATCTCACACCATTGGTGAACTATGAATAGCACACTTTGGAGAACCATATCTATAAACAATGGTTACAGAAAGAGAGATAATTGTTTGAATTTTTTCACCTAAGTTTCTTACAGCTTCTACACAGCTTTCCAGGATTTTCCTGGGAAAACTGTCTCTCTCTGTTCAGAGGATATGTAATTGCTACACTCCACAAAATCCAGGAATGCTGAAGCTGAAACTAGACAATAGATCTGGGAACATCCTGAGCTCTCAGCAAACAGGTGGTGGCATATGTGAGCTACCATGAAGATATGTGGATGCTTACCCCTTTGTCAAAGGTGGCAAAGAACTTGACGTAGGGCTGGAATTGTTCAGCAGCTTCTTCAAATGCCTTGAAATCTGAAAGGAGAAAAGGGAAATGAAGAAGATATTTCACAGACCGCTGGCCACACTCTGATCAGCCCAGAAGGTATTGGGGGAAGAACAAATACAAATTACTGCAAACTCCATCAGATGATTGCCCAATGTTTCTTCCACCCTTCCAGGGTTTACAAAGAAGGATGATTTCATGTGCAGCAACGTGCTGTCCAGTCCCACAGTGTTCAGTAAAGCTGCAGAGCCCAGCATGCCACACTTAACTGGGGCTGAAATCAGCAGCTCTGTGAAGCAGGTCAGGGGTAGTTCAGCCTGGGAAATACATCCTTAAGGATTGCTGCCATTCCCTAACAGTCACCAAGGGTGATCAGGCAGGCTTCCCCCACTGCAGGAGAATGGGCAGGAACCAGGTAAGTTTTTACTGTAACTGCTACCAGGTCTCTCTGAGCCTCAGGGTTGAGGAAAGATGCTCTCAGCCTACCAGGGGATTTTACAACAGGCATTTCTCACCTTTCTTTCAGTCATTATTACTGAATAGTGTTAGGATCACAGCCCTGCCCAAGCTGCTCTGCAGCCCAGTTTGAGAAAGATGAAGGGAGAGGTGGGTGGGCTGTTTGCAGGCTGTTGCAGACCTGGTGATATGTGGTTTGCTCACTTAGGAATACCTGTCTTTCTGCTAAAGGCAGGACATGCCAGCATGGGATGCACACTGCCAGCACTGCCCAGAAAGCAGGGAGAGCACTTGGGGCTGGCACATGAGACTGCAGGGCTTGACAGGGAGATTCTAACGTGAGGACTTTTCTAGGCCGGTGAAAGTTGGGTTTGCCCAGAAAATCCCTGTGTAGATGGGACAGCCTGGCCAGAGAGTGAGAAAATGAGATTAGTTTTCCCACAGTGGACTTGTGAGACTTTTTAGGGAGTTGTAGAGAAATGATCATAGGTTGTCTTTATAAACAACTTGCAGGTGGTGTTTTCTTACTCTGTTTTTTTTGTTCTTCTTAAGGACTGTTTGTGAGAAAGATGTTTTTGTTAATTAGCTAATCAAGTAGGATGTATCAAAACTGTTTATAAAAAGAGAAGAGTTTTTCACATTAAAGCTGCTGTTGTGCAAACAAGCCTGCTTGGAGTCCTTGCCGCTTTCTTACTCAACAGCGACATCCCTGAGTTGCACATCCCTCAGGGCATGGGAGCAGCCTCTTCCCAGTCTTGGGGTCAGCAAGGAGGAACAGGTCAGTGCCTCTGCCAGGCTGCTCCAAAGGGCCCTGCTCACTGCTGCTGTATGTTTGCCACGGTGGTATTTAATGTGTCCCCCTTTCCCTTCCCTCCTCCCTCCTTTGATCCTTTGGGCTCACTGCTCACAGGAAGGGGCACTTTGCTCCTTTTGGTTGCTCTCAGTGTAACTGTAACCTCAGCTGATTTTTGGGTGAGGCAAACTCACTTTTACTGCAAGAGCCCCTGGATTATGGCCCTTTTCTCTTGCCAGCAGACACCTTGCAGAAGGGTCACCAATGTTGGTGTAGGCCTGGGCTCACGCATTACACCAGCAGAAACCTGCCTGCAAACACGCTCATCCTCCAGCAATTTTCACTCTGTCACAGGCTGCCATATTCCACACCACCCTTCATGTTCATGCAGAACAACCAGTGCCCAGCCCCTGGAGCTCCCAGGCAGGCTCCAAGCCCCACGAGGAACACGTTTATCTTACGTTCTGAGTCTTCTCCCTTGAAGTAGCCGATGAGTTTGATTTCGTCGTCGATCTGGTCAAAGGCCTGAAGCTCCAGCTTGCTGTTGATGATCTCCACAGGGTCTTCCAGCAACTGCCATGACAAATGCATGAGGTAACACAGTGATTTGCAGCACCAACCTATGCCTGGCAGGCTGTGCCACAAGCAGCCTAAGCAGGGAGAAGGAGGTCACCCAATTTCTCTGCTGTTGGAAGCCCTGCTTAGTGCTCTCTGCCTCAATGTGAGGAGCTAAGAGAAGCAGGTCACCTTCAAAGGGACATGTTAGTAGGCTCACTGCAGAGGTGGGAGCATCCAGAAGGAGGCTGATAGAGGAGTGGGTAACCCAAATGAATGCTGAGGGACCTATTTGGAGAGGGATAAGGAGTAGCAATTGCAGCTGGCTTTAAGGAGGCCAAGTTGAAAGGAGCTGGTATGATCATTGTGACCATCTGTGAATGATACCTGTGTATCTACTTCTATTTATACTTTTTTTCAAGTGTCATTTGCTGGAAGAGGTCATTGCGAAGATCTTGCTTTTGAAAAACATTAACATCAGCTTGCTAGAGGGTGACTAAACAGTGATTTGGAGCAGTAGAAAGTCTGGATGTGAACTTTCCTGGCTGATCCTCATCCTGTACAAAATAGTTTAAACCTACTCTTTGGTCCTACACACATCACCATGTTAATGAGGAAGTTGGAAGACTTGTCTGGCACTTTAGACTGTCATTGATGCAAACTTTGTTTCTCTTAACTTTTTCCCCTTTTTTTCTCAACTTTAGTCACTGCTGGTGAAAAGGCTCAGTCTGATTATTTTGCCCAGCAATAGTGGTATAAATCAGGTGTATTCTCACTAGAAGAAGAAAAAAAGCAGGCAACCCACTGCCTACAGATGTGTAGAGAACCTCTGGCTTTCTTTTACTTTTCAAATGAGGCTGCCAAGGCACCACAGATATGTCTGGTTTTATTTTCTTGCTTTGCCAGGTATTTTCTTTTCTGTGTGGAAAACGCAAAACTGGCAATCCTTGCTCTCTTTCTTTTTTCACAGAACATGATTTTTCAGTGACACACCGCATGGCATAGCAAGCAAAACCTCATGAAGTGCCTTACAGCATCCTTGAGAGTGATGCTCCAGCGTGAGGCTGTGCCTTTGCTGGAGAATCAGCAGCATGTGCAATTTCCTGCTGCCAGCGTGGCCTGAGCCATGGGAACCTGGGATCCCCCTGCTGCAGGGGCATGGCAAAGCTCTGCCCTGTCTGTGGCCCCTATGGGATTGCCCATTTCTGTCCCTGAAGCCACTTGCATGCGTTTTGGTCACAGCACCCAATGCACACAGCCACAGACATTGCCATGGGAGAGCTGAGGTCCAAGGGATCTGTTTTAATTCCCTGGCCATGCCTCTCCTCACCAGCAGTCCTGAAGCACAGGTGACCATGTAGGCAACCTGGCGCCCTGGGAAACAAACCCTGCCAGCTCTGCTGCTCATCTTACCCCCTTATCTGCACTACTGCAAGGACCCTTACAAAGAAAGCCTCACTTCAAAGGAAAGCCAAACCACTGCAAACTGTTCTCATTTATAAAGGAAAGATCACGGTTTCTGTTGCCTCTCCTAGGAATAAAATGTAAATAAAGAGAAGTGCAGCATGTAGATGTGGGATTCAGCTTTTGCATTTAGGCATGAAGGTGAGTACATCTTTGTGCCCATGCACAAAATGACCCAAGACCATTTAGTTCTAGGACCCTGAACTCCTCTCACTCATGGCAGTGCAATTTGGCAAGTACACTGAAGAGATGCTATGTTGCTTGTGTCTAGAAATGGGCAGATAGTTTGCAACATAAGCCTTTTTCAAAGCACTGAGCTCTTTTTAGTTGCTCTAGGAGAACCTTACTTCTTGTATATTCTTATTTTGAAAATAGCTATTTTTTTAAAAAAGAAAGAAAAAGTGTGAAAGATTTTGCAAATGGCAAAGTGTTTGCACACAAGTTTGCCAACTGAGGTGGGTGAACAGCAGGCAGTTATAAGGATTGTAGCTGACTTCCATTCAAATACTCTATATAGGCAAGAGGAAAGGTTGTCTCTAAGATATAAAGTGTTTATATAAATAAGGATACCACCTTTCTTGGGATCTCATGGTCAGACAGGTATTGGAGAAGATGTCAAATGCCATCTCTACCAGTGAATAGCAAGAAAGGACGAAATTTCAAACAAAGGTACACTTGTTTTTTAAGCAAACTAAGTATTTGCAAGGTCTTCTCTGAGAGGTTTTATCTAGCTCTGAGCTTATCTGTACTTACATCCAAGAGGAATTCCACCAAGACATCTGCAGACAGTTCCCCATCAAATTCAACCAACCGCTCGTCCTTAAAGACATAGAGACTTCCCTCTTCAAGCAAGCCTGAAAGAAGAAGAGAGGAAACAACAAGTGGCTAACATGTTATTAAAAGCATGTTTAGTGCAGAATGTCTTTCTTGTTATCCCAGCAATTCCTCCTGGGAAAATGCAATTGCCAGTTTGCTGTGTTGGTCCAGTTAGAAACAACCTGAGTGATCTCCTCACTGATGTTTCATGACACAGGGGACAGACTTCAGCCAGAACTCATGCTAACTTCTTCCCAAATGTTGAATTTTTCATTCAGGTCACAGTTTGGTCTCAGCTGGAAAAATTCTGCACCAGAAACTTGTTTTAGCTTGGCTGTCTATCTTGCAGTAAATACTGGGCTCTAACTGGCAGCTCAGATTTTAACAACCTGTCACTAGATGGAAATTGGATTTTGATTTGGGCTGTGCTCACTATCCAGAGAAGGCTGAACTATGTGAGCGTCACCAGTGACCTGAAAGTGAGCTTCAAACTGAGGCTTAGCTGGCCTTGGCAAAAGGGTTAGAAACCAATGATAGAGATACCACAGACTGCAGGGTGACAGGTTTCAATGCTATATCGCTGGACTGAGGACTGAGTGCCACAGAACCTTGTTGGAGGCTCCAAAATCAACAGCACTGGTCTTCTGCAATGCAGGATGGCAGGGTACCACTGGCCAAGGAGGCTGGTAGTTTGTTTCTTCTTGGAGAGGCAGAAGATCTTGTCTTTAGTTTACCTCCCATTAGCACTCACAGCCTCTAATTTAGGAAAGAAAATTACAGTCCAATATGCTTAAACCTTAGGTTTAGTGGTATATTTGTGTACTGTTGTATTAATGTGACACAACATTTCCATATTGATTCGTGGCTATAATATGAAGGGCCTGCCAGGCCCTGGAAGGCAGCTGTGTCCAGGGTGGGCAATGCAGCAGCCTCCCACCTCTAGAGCAGATTTCCTCTTTCACTCTGGGGAACAAGACAGAATTATTGGCACCTGACTGCCAAACCATTGCAAGGCTGTGGCTGGCCCAGTGTTTAACAGGGTCAGTGGGTCATGGGGCTGAGACATTTGGGGGACTAAGTGTTTTCCTTGTATGTTCTGGTTCTGCACTGCTGGTGTCGGTCCTGTCTCTGGCTAGGAAGATCAGGAAGTTACTCCATGGCACCTATTTACTATTTCTGCACAGAAAGCTGTGAACTTACACCCTGTCATCATTACAGCATGAATTGACTTTCTTTTTCACTTGGTTTGGTTTGGTTTGCTTTTTCTGGAAGGGTCTTGGCTTGTCTCTCTCATCCTCACCCCCACCCTGATCCTGCCCCTGTTGGGGTGTGCAAGTGCCACCATCATCCTCCCCATGCTTTGGCTGTCCTCTAAGGGACTCCCATAGGCCCATCACCCCCACAGTCTCTCCAAGCTATTCCAGAGATGTCAGACCTGGGACTCACCTAACTTTTTGGCAAGCTTGGCATCCTTCTTGGAGTCCACCATCCCAAAGCCAATGCTCCTGGGCTCCAGGACTTGAGCTGCCAGCTGTGGGAAGAAGCAGAGAGCCCAACATTACTAGTGTTAATACCACAGGGTAGCTAAAGGGCATCGTGCCCTGTTAGCATGGCATGACAGACACAAGTGACCCATATTCTGCTGCTGAACAGCACCAATGGTGGCATGTGTCACATGCTGCCTCTCTGCTGAGATAACCCAGAGGTCACAAGGGTTGGGTTTGTTCCCATTGTGTTGCAGCAGGGAGTTTGCTGGCACTACCATGTTCTGTTTGACACTGCCCTCAGGAGAAGGCTCCTGAGTGAACTGGGGACACCAAAGCAGGGGGGTGGCTGGAACGAAGTCCTGTGCCACCAACACAAAGCAAAACCTGTTTCCTCTGTGGTGCCTTGGTGGCCTCCTGAAGGGGAGTGTGGCAATGGCACCATGGACATTTTAACTCTGGAAGTGCATGGTGGCAGGCAGCAGTGTGTGCAGGACTCTGCAGCATCATGCTTTCTTCATGCACGTGGTGGGGTGGCCAAAGCAGGCTCCTTTCCCTATGACGTGCCTGAAGTCATGCCTCCTGTCCAGGCTTCAGTAAGCCCCCAGATCCTGGTCCCCTGTTTTTACTAAAGAAATGCATCTAAGCCCAGCCATGGTCATGTTCACCTTCTCACAGCTTTGCAAAACCACTGCACCCTGCTCCCAGCATCTTTGACCAAGGGGCCTCTTGAAGATATCGAGTTCCTGCCTGTTTTGTGAAAATAGATATGTGAGGAAAGGAGAGACGCTCTGCAAGGGCTGGTGGTGAGAGCAACCCCGGGTGAGACCCTGTGAATTCCAAACTGGCTCCCAGAGATGCACTGACCCTGGTAAATGGATCCACTTGTGCACTGCATGACTGACAGCCCCACCACAAGCATACTAGAGACCCTACAAGGTAGTAATGATGCTCTGAGAACCACCAAGCAGCTGTAAGAGCCTTCTCCTCCTCCCTCTCCCTTCCTGCTGCACAAATGCCTGTGATGCTGATGGTCTTCTTGCTGCTCCTCCTCCCAGCCCTGCCGGATGGCGGGGGATGATGGAGATGAGGGTCAGGAGCCTCTGGGGCAGGAATGTCCCTATTAGGGCACAGCTGTCAGTGCTTGGCAGCACGAGGCTGGAGGGGGGCAGAAGAAAGCCGTGGCCAGAGAGATGGTGGGTTGATTTATGAGGAAGCTCCCCCCCTGCCCCGGCTCATTTTGGCTCCCTCCCCCAGACTCAAAGCCAGCTTGAATGTCACCCAGCAGTGCTGCCACCGTGGCCACGTGGCCTCTTGGCTCCCCTGCTATAAATAGCTCCTGCCTGTGCCAGGCCTCTGTGAGAGTGAGCGGTGATTAGAGGCATTGGGGAGCAAAAGTGGTGGGGCAGCCACCTCTCCTGTGCAAGGGGGTGTCATGGGGCCAGCCAGCTCCCTGTGCTGTCAGTCTGTCCCTGAAATTCTGGGGGATGGTGGCAGGCACCCTGGGGATCAGGGCTCAGGGACCTTGCTTGAGCAAAAGGGAGAGATGGAGCATGTGGTTGTTTTCTCCCTACCACCAAATGCACGTCCTCAGGGCTGTCCCAAAGCCCTCCAGGAGGAAAAAAGACTCCACTGACCACCACAGCATTGCTGCAGCTTTGATCCCCTGCAACCACCTGCCCTGTTGTCTTTAGGGACAAATGCCACCATGGGAGGCAAAAGGGGTGCCTGTGTTACACAGGAAACTGGTGTGCCAGTGCTCTTTCCCTGCTCTTTGCCAGTGCTTTGAAATGAAGCTAAGGCTGCAGATTCAGGGCTTGTGCTTACAGTGGACACAGCCTGAAAGGGCAAGAGCACTGGTTTGTGTTTGGACATCCACTGATTAGGCTGATAAGGCACTGGTCTGGTTTAGCATCCCATCTGGTGGCTCAGGTCATCTTAGAGCACCTGAGAGCAGCTGGAGCCCCATATTTGCAGTAAGAGATGGACACCTCTCATGAGCTCTCTAGGCTTCTGCAAGTGAGTGGTGATAAAAGAAGAGATTTTCTGTTTCCTGTTATGGGGATCTGCCCTGACTGGACAAAAGGATGGAGCCTGTAGGACCATCAGGGTTATGGGACATTGTCAGCACGTCCCTGCTTGTTGGTAGTTGTGTACACCAGCAAGAGGCTCCTGAGAACCACCACTTGAGGCTCTGGCTGCTCTGAGACCAGAGGAAAATACAGAATGGCCAAGGGAAGCAGACTTGTTCAGTCATGTCCAGTCCAGGCCATATTGATTTAGTTACTTACAGTTATGTCAGCCACGGGCCAGACACAGTCAGGGCAGTTTAAGCCCAGTGGTTCTTGACTCCTGCACACAGGAGATGGTTAGGGTTTCTTGTGAGTGTTTGAAGGTCAGAAATATGCAGAAAAGCTGCAACACCTGCTACAGACAAGTGGTTGGATGTGTGCAAGGGAGGAGGCATTGATCAGAACTCATGTATGTCAGCATGCAGCACACACAAGGTTGCTCTTCGGAGGGGTGTGGGTGCAGTTCTGTAGCTGAGAGCGTGGAAGTTTGCTGGAAAAGAGTAAAAGTGTCAAGAAAACGTAGGTGATGTGATGAAAGCCTCTTTGTGTGAGACTGTGGGAGTGCTCAGTCATCAAAAAGAGTCTCAGTAATGGTGGAGGTGTGGCTGTTTGTGTGGCAGGGCTTGTGTGACTGTGTCTAGCAAGACTGTCTGCTGGAGGTGTATGTATGGTGGGTGTGAGTGTTTGGAGGTGCTCCTCTGAAGAGGCTCATCCCCAGAGACGTGCAGCAGTCTGGGCATGCAGGAGAGAGCTTGTGCATGGTGTGTGAGTGTGCCTGAGGGGGCAGAGCTGGGAGCTCAGGGACAGCCTGCCTCCTCTGCAGGGACCTGCATGCCAGTGAGACACTGAGGAAAACAGAACAGCCCTGAGCTCCTCTCCAGAGCAGGATCTCACAACAGGGAGGTCTTTGTGCAGCATGAGACTTTCAGGAGCCCTTCCTACTGTGGCAGAGCCTGGAGGCAGGAGGCTTTGCAGGGCGTTTGGGGTGGCATTTGCAAGTGCAAGCCATGCAGGGGCTGGGCATTGCTCCTGGCCTTGCTTTCTCTGCTTTCCACTGCAGCAGGAGAGCCTAACCCGTGCATGGGTGACAATACATTCCCACACCTATATCTGAACCCCAAAAAGCAGCAAAATATGGGGCATGCCAGAGGCACAGCAGTTTGGCTAATTTCCCCCTACTCATTACAGTATCAAGCATTTATATATCCCCTTACAGTATTTTCTGATTCCATAATGCTAGTGGGATTTGAATGCAGATAATGTTTCTAATCTTGACAATCCTCTTGGCTCAGGGCCTTGGGACAGAGGCATCTGTAATCTAAGAGCACAGCCCCTCCTCCTCCTGCCTTTAAATTCATATTGCTCGAAGTCTTGGCCAGCCAGAGCCCTTGCCTTTGTGTCAGCCTCTATCTCTACAGCACATAATTTAGCTTCAACAGCTGCATGGAGACATGGAGGGTAGAAAGTGCCCTGGAAGAACTGGACATAACAGATCATGCAGTCCCTGAGGTAGAGCAGGAACTTTGGGCTGGCAGAGTTGGTTGAGAGCAAGAGCAAAGAGCCCAGTAGGTTGTAAGTTCACGTCCCATGCACATTTTGCAGCCTTATTCTCATGTTCATGAAGTCTTTGCAATGCATACTTTCTACCCATTGGATCCCAAGCTGTGTCCTCTGCAGCACTGGGAAAAGGAGGTGGGAGTTTGGCAGCACTACTCCATTCTCCCATATCCCTCAGGTAGTAACCATACTTGAATTTGGGGGAGTGTGAGGGGGTGAATGGCCCTCTGGGATGTGTGGGAGGTCCAGCCCAAAGTGACGCTTGAGTACTACCAAGTATGCAAGAACCCTCTCTCTCATGCTGGATGGTGTCAGCAGTTCCAGGCACTCAGAATAATGGATGTGGAAAGGCACAGCTCCCTGCCCAGCATCTCAGCTCCACACCCACTGTACCCACCTGAGCCTCGGTGTGATGCTGGGAAGTTTTGGGAGACTTAAGCAGTCCCATAGGGTCATTCTGAAATCCTTGGTTATACAGCAGCAGAAACGTCACTCTCTGCCTGACCATGCTCCTGTTCCAGCCGCAGGCAGCACTGATTGTGCCAAACCTTGCACTTGTCAGTTTTGCTGCTAAATGGCAGATAAAAATCCCTCAGAGAGGGTTAAAAATGGGAGTGGGAGGAGTGGCTGCCTCAGCATGGTCAGTTTTCATTGTGAAGTGACATTATGGCATTCTGGCCTGGATTTTCTTCCCACTTCTCTAGAACCTGCCCAGAGCTCCCACAGACAATAAGGCTCATCTGCCCCAGCTGCTCAGGCTTGGGAGGAAGGGCTGGGGGCATTTGGGTGTCTCTGAAAGCCATCATGAGTACACTTCTTTTAACCATGGGGAGCTTTCTGTTTTGCTATTTAGCAGTGCAGGAAGAACAAAACTCCAGCAATGCAGAGAGAAGAGCAATAGGAGATGATGAGGAAAAGTCCCTCAAGCAATCTACACTCCTCTGCTGCTTCTCTTCTACTCTCTTTAATGCTGCAGTTGATACTGATGGTCAGAACCTGGTTGATGAAATTATGATGATTTTATATCCCAGAGTGTTAGGTTTTTATTTTCAGAAACAGCAAAAGGAGACAGCAAGTTTTTAGTGTATTTCCCCAGAAGTTTTGAATCCTTACAGGACTCCCACCTACACACTGTAGTTGGCTACTCTGAGACATTGGGCAGTTTCTTGGAGAACAGAGGCCATTATTTCTCTTTCCTAATGCTGTGCTGTCCCCACTAGCACCCCCTTGCATACCACACCAGTAATATCTTAGGCTTTTCCACAGTTCAGGCTGTCCTGAAGCACTGTGGTGATCAAAGAGCAGGGCCAGAAGCCTGCTGAGCAGCTGCCACTAGAAAAGTCACTTTCCTGGCAGTGGGGACTGAAGGAGAGTACGTTGGTCCCACCTTACTACACTTTTCCACCACCTGAGCTGCT